TGAAAGGTACCTCGTGTGTGCGGCGGGTGCGGCTGCGGTCGTTTCATGCGCGAATTGTTCCTCTATGTGTTTTGCAACGAGTGGTTGTGTCTGCGTGTTTAGTTCTATATGCGCGTCTTGAGTCTCTGGTTGCAGATTGCATTGGAATGGCTGCTTGATTGTCGTCATCTGATGTTGCCATGTGCGTAGATAGGTGCAGGTTTGCGACGAGATGCTGTGAAACGCATTGTAATGGCTGCATGAATGTTGCATGGGCTATGTTTTGGGGAGGAAGCCGGAGCACGAAACCTTGTGTTTTTCTGTGTAAAGTGGCTGCAGCCGGCGATGAAAGGTACCTCGTGTGTGCGGCGGGTGCGGCTGCGGTCGTTTCATGCGCGAATTGTTCCTCCTATGTATTTTGCAACGGGTGGTTGTGTTTGTGTGTTTAGTTCTTTGCGCTTCTTGAATCTCTGGTTGCAGATTGCATTGGAATGGCTACTTGATTGTCGTCATTTGATGTTGCCACGTGCGTAGATAGGTGCAGGTTTGCGACGGGATGCTGCGAAACGCAATGTATATAATGGCTGCATGAATGTTGCATGGGCTATGTTTTAGGGAGGAAGCCGGAGCACGAAACCTTGTGTTTTTCCGTGTAAAGTGGCTGCAGCCGGCGATGAAAGGTACCTCGTGTGTGCGGCGGGTGCGGCTGCCGTCGTTTCATGCGCGAATTGTTCCTCCTATGTGTTTTGCAACGAATGGTTGTGTCTGTGTGCGTAGTTCTATGCGGTTTTTGAATCTCTGGTTGCAGATTGCATTGGAATGGTTGCTTGATTGTCGTCATCTGATGTTGCCACGTGCGTAGATAGGTGCAGGTTTGCCACGGGATGCTGCGAAACCGATTGTAATGACGCATGAATGTTGCATGGGCTATGTTTTGGGGAGGAAGCCGGGGCACGAAACCTTGTGTTTTTCCGTGCAAAGTGGCTGCAGCCGGCGATGAAAGGTACCTCGTGTGTGTGTGCGGCGGGTGCGGCTGCAGTCGTTTCATGCGCGAATTGTTCCTCCTATGTGTTTTGCAACGAGTGGTTGTGTCTGTGTGCGTAGTTCTATGCGCTTCTTGAGTCCCTGGTTGCAGATTGCATGGGAATGGCTGCTTGATTGTCGTCATTTAATGATGCTGCCGCGTGCGTAGATAGGTGCAGGTTTGCTACGGGATGCTGTGAAACGCATTGTAATGGCTGCGTCAAGGTCGCTTGGGGCTGCGGCTGCATGCATAATATTATTGTCTTTTGCAGCTGAACATCGTAAATCGTAATGGAATGGCTGCATCCAGGCTGGATAGTGATTTGTCAGCAGATTTTCGTCCCTCTGGCGCTAGTAATTTTCCTTTTAAAAATCCTTTTAAAAAGTGCTTCAAAATCGTCTTTTTGTCGCATTTGGCGTCGAGATCCGGTTTTGGAGCTGCAATTTCCGACGGCGTTGCGCGTAGTTCTATTGTGTTTTGCAACTCAGTCTCTGCAGATCGCAATGTAGTGCCTGCGTCAAGGTTGCTTGGCGCAGCGGCTGCATGCGTAATACTATTGTCTTTTGCAGCTGAAGATCGTAAATCGTATTGAGTGGCTGCATCCAGGCTTAGTGATTTGTCAGCAGATTTTCGCAATCTTGGCGATAGTAATGTTCCTTTTAAAAAAATATTCTTAAAAAGTGCTTCGAAATCGTCTTTTTGTCGCTTTGGCGTCGAGATCCGGTTTTGGAGCTGCAATTCCTGTTGTGATTATGTACAAGAAAGCTTCTCTGTGCAAAAACTTTTTCTGTAAAAGCTTGCTGTGTGTAAAAGCTTCTCTGTGTGTAAAAGCTTCTCTGTGTGTAAAAGCGTCTCTGTGTAAAAGTGTTCTGTGTGTAAACGCTTGCTGTGTGTGAAAGCTTGCTGTGTGTAAAAGCTTCTCTGTGAAGAAGCTTGCTGTGTGTGAAAGCTTGCTGTGTGTAAAAGCTTCTCTGTGTAAAAGCTTGTTGTGTGTAAAAGCTTCTCTGTTTAAAAAGCTTGCTGTGAGTGTAAACGCTCGCCATGTGTAAAAGCACTGTGTGTAAGTGTTCTGTGTGTAAACGCTTGCTGTGTGTGAAAGCTTCTCTGTGTAAAAGCTTCTCTGTGAAGAAGCTTGCTGTGTGTGAAAGCTTGCTGTGTAAAGCTTCTCTGTGTAAAAGCTTGTTGTGTGTGTAAAAGCTTCTCTGTTTAAAAAGCTTGCTGTGAGTGTAAACGCTTGCCATGTGTAAAAGCACTGTGTGTAAGTGTTCTGTGTGTAAACGCTTGCTGTGTGTGAAAGCTTGCTGTGTGAAAACGATTTTGTGTGTAAAAGCTTGCTGTGTGTAAAGGCTTCTCTGTGTGTAAAAGCTTCTCTGTGTGTAAAAGCGTCTCTGTGTAAAAGTTTCTGTGCGTGTAAAAACTTGCCATGTGTAAAAGCACTGTGTGTAAGTGTTCTGTGTGTAAACGCTTGCTGTGTGTGAAAGCTTGCTGTGTGTAAAAGCTTCTCTGTGTAAAAGCTTCTCTGCTTGAAAAGCTTGCTGTGTGTAAAAGCTTCTCTGCGAAAGAACTTGATGTGTGTAGAAGCTTTGTAGTACAAAGTAGTACTGGAACGTGTTTTGTGCAAGCTTTGTAGTACAAAGTAGTCATGGGAAGTAGTTTGTGGTGTGTGCAAGCTTTGTAGTACACAGTAGTACTGGGAAGTGCTTTGTGCAAGCTCTGAAGTACAAAGTAGTACTGGAACGTGTTTTGTGCAAGCTTTGTGATACAAAGTAGTACCGGGAAGTAGTTTGTGCAAGCTTTGTAGTACAAAGTAGTACTGGGAAGTGCTTTGTGCAAGCTTTGTAGTACAAAGTAGTACTCGGAAGTGCTTTGTGCAAGCTTTGTAGTACACAGTAGTACTGGGAAGTGCTTTGTGCAAGCTTTGTAGTACAAAGTAGTACTGGAAAGTGCTTTGTGCAAGCTTTGCAGTACAAAGTAGTACTGGGCAGTGGTTTGTGCAAGCTGTGTAGTACAAAGTAGTACTGGAACGCGTTTTTTGCAAGCTTTGTAGTACAAAGTAGTCCTGGGAAGTGTTTTGTGCAAGCTTTTGTAGTAGACATCAGTACTGGGAAGTACTTGACTTAAACATAGCCAAGAAGAACTTAGCTGACATATGGGAAGACATGGAATGAGATGAGAAGAGCTCAGATGAGATGAGTTGAGATGAAGTGTGAAGTGTGGAGTGTGGGGTGTGAAGAGTGCAATGTGAAGTGTGAGGAAAGTGTTTGAATTGTGCCGGGGTCGGGCGCAGGTCATGTTCTTGGACAGCAACACTGCAACAGCTTCGCACAAAGCACGCACGCACGGGCCTGGCTGGCGCACGGCGCATGCAAGTTCCTTAGTTGTAGTACTGGGAAGTGATTCATGAAAGCTTAGATGACATATGAGAAGAGATGAGATGAGAAGAGATGAGCTGGGATAAGGTGAGAAGAGCTCAGATGAGATGAAGTGTGGAGTGTGAAGAGTGCAGTGTGAAGTGTGGGGCGTGAAGAATGCAGTGTGAAGTGTGGAGTGTGAAGAAAGCAATGAGAAGTGAGAAGTGTGAAGTGTGGACTGTGAAGTGTGAAGTGTGGAGTGTGAAGTGTGAAGTGTGAAGTGTGGAGTGTGAAGTGTGAAGTGTGAAGTGTGAAGAGTGTGAAGAGTGCAGTGAGAAGTGTGAAGTGCGAAGTGGAGCTTCAAATGTAACATGTGAAACAGGACGCCACTTTCGCAGAGTGCACGCACGCACGGGTTTGGCTGGCGCACGGCGCATGCAAGTTCTATAGATGAGAAAGGTCTTATATATATATAAATATAAATATCTTTAAGGCAACTTCCGCCCCGCCTCGTGCGGGTACTACTGGTAATTATCATTATTGTTAGATAATGATTAGTACCGTCGGGTTTTCTTTTTCTTTTCCCATGGCTTTGCCCGCTACAGCAGCTCTTTTGGCCAGCATCGGCCTGGTCGGCCTGATCGAGCGATGATTCTCGAGAGGGATTCGGATAGTGAGGGCTGGGTAGCCTCTGAGGGCATTTGGAAGCCTGAGACTTTCAGTTTTGAAAGGATCCGATTGTGCTTCAAGTGTACTGCTGTGGAAGCATTGCAAGATGACACTTATCAGGAATGGAGCGTTAATGGGGCTGCCAATGGAGCTCCGCCTGACTGGGGCACGTCTACCATGACTTGTCTTTCCAAATGGGAAGCTGAATGGAATGTGTGATTGTTTTTTTATTGCTTGTAAAGTTTTTCTTGGTTTGTTCTCAATGCATATGATCTAAAGTTGTTTGCTGATGCATTGATTTTTCTTTTCCATCGATGTTGTCGTTTTTGACTGCATCGATGATTCACGTACCTGGGGCTAGATCCTCAGGACGTTGCCACGATAGTATGGTTAGTTATTCATGATAATCTTCAATTGTGGTATAATAGCTAATGGTTAGTTAAACAGGTTTCTGCAGTTACTATTCAGAAGAAACCATTAGTATATTAACCATTAGTATCAATCATCAAGATGAATTATGAATTCCTTAGTGTAAACCATTAGGTATTAATGCTATCCGTTTTGAATTCAACCATTCCTTAGAATACCATGTTATATATATATTCCAATATTATTCACCACTATTGGAATATTAATTTAACCAATATTAGAATAATAGTGGTTAACCCTTATATATACACTGGTTGGTGGTTTCCAATATGGCTTTTATTTTCCATTTCATATATGGGATGTCATCCTTCCCATTGACGAACTCCATCATTTTTCAAGATGGCTATTGCACCACCAACCAGATGTTATAACCCCCCAAAAACCATAGAATTCACCAAAGTTACCCTCTGGTAAACTAACATAACTGTGGAAAATCTCAATTTTTAATGGGTAAATCCACTATCAATGGCCATTTTCAATAGCAAATTGTTAAATTACCAGCATGGAATCAACCAGTAACCATGAAATCGTGGCCGGCATCGCACCAGGTGGAGCGATGTTGGCCATGGTGTCCACCGCCATGCTCCCGGAAGCCTTCAAAGGTGCCGCGTGCCAACGATGGAGAAAGCCTAACTTCCATTGAAATGGTCAATAGTGAGTGGCTAATAGCTGGTTGGTGGCTAATAGCTGGAGGCTGGATGGGGTGAACGTCATGGTGATCTATATAGCTGGCTGGTGGTTTGGAACATGTCTTTTATTTGTCCATTCAGTTGGGAATGTGCAACAATTTCAGCATGAGCTTCGATTCACTCATACATTTCAGTCAGACATGTCCCATCCATTGTCTTTTGCCGCTCCTTGATGCTCAGGGGCCCCTTTTCAGGATCTAATCCAAACCAGCCATTGCGGCTGTCGGTGCTGTGGCATAAAAAGGCTGCTGAGGCCTTCTTGCGTGTGAATTTCCATTTGAACGATCGTGAGCCCAATCATTTGCTCCATTGTGCTACCACCGCTACATTGGTAGCGGGGCAGGACTCCATCTGGGGCCTGCTGCGACTACAAGATTGGGGAGCCAGAGGTTCTGATCACCTTCGGCTACAAGTCAGGCAGTTCTTGCGAACTCTTGCCCCTTTTCATTTGGCGACTGTTTGTGCATTGAGCTTGGAGAACATTGACACTATCAGGGAGTTTGTAAACTACTAGCTCTACTGGTTGATTCTGTTCACCTTGCACGTCATTGTCTTTGTGTTGAATCAAGAGTATAAGTACGGCAAGAACCTAGGGGCATTCCTGAACTTTTCTTGTTTCTCCAGAACTTCTCCTTTGACTTGTTCTTTTTCTACAATCATGTCTTCTGAAGGAAGGGATGTGATACCTAGCTGGGATGGAACAGCTAGAACATGGAGAAGGTACACCAGGGAAGTTGCCTGGTACTTTCGTGCCACGCCGTCCCACAAGAGACGCTATGTGGCGACCAAACTACTCAGCCGGCTTACCGGCTCCGCCAGACTTTTGGCGATGTCATGGACCGATATGGCGCTGGATGACTACAACGGGACAAAGACCCTGCTGCAGCGACTCGCAGTGAGTCCTCTTGTTCGTCAGTCGCTTCCCAACGCATCTGCAATTTGTGCTCAGTACTTTGACTTCCGAAGGAAGGTCAATGAGCCTATGACCACATTCTTGGTGAGAGAGTCTTTGGGCTATACTGAGTTTGTAGAATCGTTGGTGAGATTGGCTGAAGAAAAGAAGGGACTGCGTCCTGAAGACTCAGATTTTGGTCTTCCACCAGCTCCTCAGTATGATGAATGGTCAACGTGGGAACGAGATGAAGATTTTCCTGAAGCTGGATGGTCATGGCACCGTGATTATGATGCCGTGCCCACCGTGGAGCGTGGAGTCGGAACTTCTCCCATGGCTGACAGTGGTTCACCTGCAGGAACCTATAGCCGTATTCCTCAAGAATCCCCAGCTGCAAGCCGACGGTCGGCAGGTGTTCAGCCGTCTTTCTTTGATGATGACGAGGTCAACGAGCTGACCTTTGCTGACTCCTTTGTGCTAGGTGTTTTGCGAGGATTCCGAGTTTTGCAGGCTGCTGGATTGACACCAGAAGAACGACGTGTGATCTTGTCCTCCACACGTGGTTCCTTGGAGTTTGACCAAGTGACCAAGGCACTTCAAACGCTTTGGGATGAACAATTTGCTGGACAACGTGCTCAAGTGCATCATTCCAACTTTCAGGAGACCTATGCGGCCGAGATGGATGAGGCTGATTCCTGGCAGTGGGAAGATGCACAGTATGCCGAAGATTGGAGCTCATGGCATGATCCTTACTGGGATTGGTCCGAAAGCTATGTGGCTGAACAGCCTGAAGAACCTTCTTCAGCTGACGCTGAGGACCCTGCCATCAAGGAAGCTCAACAGGCTGAACGCGTTGCGGAGTCACTTGCTTTGGAGGCTCAGCGCACTTGGTCAGAGGCACAACGTGCCACAGCTGCTCTGAGGAAAGACCGGGGCTTTGGTCAGCATCCTTCCTTGCCTGGCCAAAAGGGAAAGGGCTGCTGGATTTGCAATGGGCCACATATGGCCAAGGATTGTCCTGATCGACGCCATCCAAGCATGATGAAAGGCAAATTCAAGGGCAAGCAGTCCTACATGTCTGAATATGACGACAGTGTCCCCTATTTCCATGAAGACCTCTATGCTGGTCGCGTGAAGGGCAAGAAAGGTAAGAACAATCACTGGCTTGAAGCGCAGGCTTGGATGAAAGGGAAGGGTCCACGTCCTTCTCAACAAGGCAAGGGTCAAGTCCTTCGCCCACCAGTGAACTCCTATCACTCGGAAGTCTTCTTTGGTGGTCTCGAGCTTCTCAGTAGTGCCAATGAGGTGCAGGCCAGCAGCACAGAATGTTTGCCTAGCACTCATGGTCTTCTAGATTCAGGAGCTACAGCATCAGCTGGCCCTCAGATAGCTGTAGAGAATTTGGTGGCTGCCGTACTTGCGGCAGACCGACAAGCTGAGATTGAAGTCCGCCAGTCCGATCGCCCTTATTTTCGCTTTGGCAATGGTCGGTGGGGTAGGGCACTATACAAAGTTGTTATTTCCTCAAAGGTCAGCGGTATTCAGCGAAGTTTTGGTTTGTATGCACTTCCAAATCCTTCAGAACTTCATAGACCTGACTTTGACAAATCTACTTTGGTTCCCATTCTCATCGGTATGGATCACCTATCTGGACCTCACTCATCTATGACCATTGACTTCATGACTGGCATGGCTTTGGATTCTAGTGAAGAAAATCCCGTAATCTACCAGTTGAAGGCGAATCGTAAGGGTCACTATGTGTTGGACATCATCTATTTTCTCACCAGGGGTTGCACTTCTACAGAGGGTCATCCACGGGTACATGTTGTGAAACACACACCATCAGCCACCATTGAGAACAATTTCATTCAGTTCATGCCGATCGAGTTTGATGCGATGATGATCGATGTGAAGATGCCCATGAATGATCCACAGATGATGTCACGTGCAAAGCGAAACTTGCGAAAGTTGCATGAGAGCAGTCGTCAGTTTCGAATGAAACTGCAGCACTCTGCTCGAATGTCTTGCGAGACTGACGCGCTGCCCAATTCGAGTCCACCAGCCAGTTCCAGCCATGAGCAAGCGGAACTCCACTATGAGTCCAGAACAGGTGGAAAAGTTCGACGAGATTGTGGAGACCACACCAGGCAAGTCCCAGACTCGTCCATTCGAGCATGCTCGTCGAGTGGGGCCGGACTTGCGGGACCCACGAATGAAGGCCAGTCAGTGGCCATGCTTTGGCAATCACCAGGAAGCCAAAGCCCATGCCAATCCACACGGCAGTTGGGTGCATTGCAAGATTTGCAATGTTCGACTCAGCTACACTCCTCGAGTCGGCTCAGCGGCTCAGACAACAAAGGTGGAGAACGAGCACCAGGTGCAGAAGATGCTCAACGAGTTGGAGATCCTTTTGAAGTCGGTGCCTCCGACGTCAGAACTTTGTCTGGCCATGCAGAAAAAGATCGACGCAGAGACGGTTCTGATGAGTGGCATCCAGAAGCACCTGGAGATCAATGCCAGCCAGATCAAGCCCAAGGCCAAGGCGGGCTACCTCAAGATGGCCAAGTCCGTTTCTCCGACGGGCTCATGGGAGCACGTTCACAACATGGAGGCGGAGAGCTCACTCTCCCGAGATCTCCATGCTCATCTGAACTCCGAGGAGATGGCACAGTTGATGGCAACCATCACTCAGCGCAAGGAGACCCAGAAGGAGAGCGAGGTGTTTCACATCGACACTCCGCCAGGGGACAGTCCGTGAAACCGGCTTCAACTTTGAAGAGATCTATGAGCCACACTTTGACACCTTCGAGCTCTACGTCTCCGAAGTCCTCTATGAAACTGAAGAGCTCTACGTCCAAGAAATCATCTATGAAACTGCCGAGCTCTTCTTCCAAACAATCTTTGACGTCCATGAAGAGCTCTTTTCCTCTGACGAGATCTATGGCGGCTCGAGTCCTTTTCTTGGCAACTACTCTGATGAGCTCTATGGTGTCACTGGCCTCAGATCTTTTGCTGGACACCCAGGATGGTGTCTGGGAGATTGCATGCGCTCCACATTCATGGCTCTCTCAGGCATGTGATCAACAGGGCTTGCGAGCTCGACGTATCAACCTTGAGCAGGGCTACAACCTGTATCAGGACAAGACATGGGAGGACTTGCGATCCTTGAGGCGAAAGCATCGTCCAAAGAGGCTGTGGATTTCCTTGCCATGTACCAAGTGGTGCCAGTGGAGTTACATCAACTACTCCACGCCGGAGAGGAAGTTGATTCTAGCGGCATACCGTCGCAAAGAACTTCGCATGCTTTGGAAGATGGTGCACTTCATAGAAGAAGCGCTGGATGAAGATCCTCTCCTGGATGTCTTCTGGGAGTGGCCATGGCCCTGCATAGGTTGGCAACAAGCTCCTCTTCAATATCTACAAACCATTCTTGAAGCACGTGGTCGGGAGTGGCTACGATGCCGCATTGATGGCTGTAACTATGGTCTTCGTGAAAAAGATGGAGCTGGAGACTTTTTGAGAAAGCAGTGGCTGGTGCGCACAACCAGCACCTATTTCCATCAGCGCTTTGCTGCCAAAACCTGTCCTGGAGGTCATCGCCATAGCCAAGTAGCCGGCATAGAGACAGCCAAGAGTTCATATTACCCTTGGCGCATGGTCAAGTCGATCGCAACTGCTTGGCGACAAGAGCTTCTTTCTGACCGCAGTCAACGACTTCTGTTTGCAAAGGAAGATCAACCCATGATGCTGTCAGTTGAAGAAGAACTCAATGTGCTTGAAGAGCAAGGACACATTCTTCCTGCTATGAAGGCGATGGAGCCTGCGGAAAGTGTGCCCTCTGATGCTGATCTCCAGAGATGGCGTGCCAGAGTTTCTCATTTTCACAAAGCAGCTGGGCACCCTACCAATCGAAACTTGGCACGGGTGATCCGTGACTCTGGGGCACCACAATGGAAGATTCAAGTTGCTCTGGAGCACAACTGCGAGACATGTGCTTCTCTCAAACCAGGTGGGGTCTCATCAGGACAGATACCACCGGCATCAACACATTGTCTTCCACAAGCTTGGCAAGTGATTGGCTTGGATACCAGTGAGTGGTTGGTGCCAGGTTTGAAGAAGAAGGCACGGTTTCTTTTGATGATAGATCTTGCCACGAAGTTGCGCGTGGTCTCTGTCATCAAGATTTACCCAGAGCTGGCGATGCAATCAGAAAGTGCTGAAGAGATCATAGAATCCTTCTCAGCGAGCTGGTTGGCACATTTTCCAAAGCCTCAAATGGTCGTCGCCGACAATGCCAAGAGCTTTACATCAGTTCAGCTACATGAGTTTTTTCATGCCCAAGGGATTGAATTGAAGTTCCCTCCTGAGAAAGAACCTTGGAGTCATGGAATTGTGGAAGCAGCTATTGCTGATATCAAACACACTGCGACGGCGATCCACCTAGAAGCTTTGGAAAACTCTCCAGACATGACAATGTCTTTGGCATGTTCAGCTCTCAACTCCACCGAGTTCACGGCAGGTTTTTCTGCACATCAATGGGCATTCGGCTCTCACTATGCCATCAGCGATGAGGACACGCGTCTTTGGCAATCAGTGGGCAACGCCAAGACCAACTTCATCAGCGTAGCAAAAGCACGACAAGATGCTGAAGAGATTGCACGAAAAACCAGAGGCCAACGAGTGTTGAGCAAACTCTCCAACACCAGTGTCAGGCAGCCGCCTCGACACTACAATGTCTCCGACCTTGTCATGGTGTGGAGAAAGGTGCAAGCGGGTGAGCATCACCTAGGCGTCAGAGGTGGTCTCCGAAAATCTGGTCGACCACATTGGGTTGGACCAGGAAGGGTAGTTCTTTCTGAACCCTTAGCTCACCAGGAGCCTGATGACTCCCGCCAGCACATTCTCTGGATTTTGATGGGCAAGAAACTTTGGCGCTGCTCCATTCACTCAGTTCGACCTGCCAATGAAACCGAGCGTTTGCACCATGAGCTCACCAACAAGGAGGATCCGTCACAGTGGCGCACCTTGGCGGACATGCTCCCTCAAAAGGAGTTCATAGATGTCACTTCTGAAGAGCCAGGACCTGGTGAGATCGAGGTTCCTGACTTACCTGAGCAACCAGACCGCTCCACAATGGTGCCCATTATGAGAGCTCATGGCAAGCAGACTTACGGTCCTGAAGATTTACGACCGAAGTATGGACCTGTGCCATATCAGAAAGTTCATCGCTCATCTCCAATTGGCCAAGATCGACAGTATGTGGAGGTCAAGAATTTTGTGCCAGCTGCAGCATCAAGTTCACCTTCTTTGCCATCTAGGTCTAAGACCACTTCCTCTGCGCAGCCTCCTCTTGCAGAAGATGTTCCTATAGATGAGGGTCGAGACTCTGACTATGAACCATCAATAGCTCCTGACCCTGTGAATGAATACGACTTGAAGGAACCAGAGCAGAAGAAACCAAAGAGAGAGGACTCCTATGATCTCAAATGGTTAGAAGCCCTTGAAGCTGAGGCGGAGAAGGAAATCACTCATGATGATCTTTTCACGACTCTTGATAGCTACGAGGGCTAGTGCCTCATGTTTGAGCTGGACCTGAATTTTTCTTCACACAAACAGTGTAGGAACTTTCAACATGATCCACTTCTCTATTTGGTGAAAAAGCTCAACAATGCAGAGGTGTCTTTGAAGAATTTGTCTGCTGCAGATCGTGTTCTTTTTGAGAGAGCAAAAGCCAAGGAAGTGAGTTCCTTTTTGAAACATGCGGCAGTCCGCCGCTGCTTGAATGATGAAGAGGTGAAGAATGCTTTTGGTAGCGGTCGAATTTTGAAGTCCAGGTGGGTATTGACCTGGAAATCAGTTCCTCCTGATGAGAAGGAGGAAGCGATGAAAGATGTCATGCAGAATGACAACACAGTCACATCAGCCTGTGGAAGCAAGCGTGCGAAAGCTCGTATTGTTCTTTTGGGTTTTCAGCATCCTTCTCTTTTAGATCGCAATTTCAAAACCAGTGCACCTGTCATTTCCTCCATGGGCAAGAACATGATGTACATGGTTGCGACTTTGTATCAATGGCATTTAGAAGGGTTGGATTTAGCTACGGCATTTTTGCAAACCATGCCAACTGCTGCTGATGATCAACTCTACACATTTGGAGTGCCAGAGCTCTGCAAAGCTTTGGGTGTCCCTGAAGGTTCTGCTCTTAGAATTCTTCGCAACATCTATGGCTCCACAACTGCACCGCGAGGCCTGTGGCTTAGCTTGTCTCAGAAACTTGAGTCTCTGGGGGGCATTCCCACTCTTGGCGAGCGATGTTTGTGGTGTTGGTACTCCAAGACTGAAAAGGACATCACAGGTAAACATCCCAGGTTGATTGGCATGATGGGGGGTCATGTGGATGATTTTCACAGAATCGGAGATCGCACTTCAGCTGAGTGGTGTGAAGTTTGTCAACGCATTGATTCTGCATACCAGTGGGGTACTATCAAGAAGGGATCCTACAGACATGCAGGATGTGATGTTCACACCGTCATTGACCGCACTGGCAAGTTCAGCATTCGTGTTGAACAACAATCATATGTGGAGTCTTTAGCGGATGTAGATATACCACCTGAACGTCTACGTAGCAATGGTCCTCTAAGTTCTCATGAAGTTGGTGCATGTCGTGCAGCTTTAGGAGCCTTGCAGTGGTTAGCAATTCAAACACAGCCTTTGTTGACTGCTCGATGCAATCTTCTTTTGACTGAGATCACCATGGGTGGCACACTTGAGCACGCGCGTGAGATCCAAACGATGATAGGAGAGGTCAGAAACCATGCAACTGTTTTGGAGTTTTTTCATCTACCTGATGTGAAAGCTTGGAATGAAATGATTTTCATCAGTATGGGTGATCAAGCACATGCCAACCGCAACAAGGGTGGCAGCACTGGTGGAATGGTTCATTTGGTTTCTGGTCCCAATTCTCTTGATGGCCGTGTCAGCAAGATGATGCTTCTTTCATGGCGCACCTGGAAACTGAAACGACGTGCCATTGGCTCAAACGATGCTGAGGTACAAAGTATCCTTGAGGCTGAGGATGTGAACTTCCGAGCGCGTTTGCTTTGGGCTGAGATTCATGGCTGCCGAATTAGCCATCCAGGTGAATATCGAGAAGACTTGGTGGATGTGACCGAGCGGTTGAGTTTGCTCGTCAAGGGGGTTTTGTGCACAGACTCTCGTGGCGGCTACGACGCTGTTGAGGTGAATGAATCACCGCTCTTGGGCCTGAGCAATTTGCGAGCGGCCTTGCAGGCATTTCAGCTTCGCGACAATCTGAAGCGCTGTGGCAGCGAGCTGCGATGGTTGGCTTCAGACTACGACTTGGCAGATGCCTTGACGAAGAAGCGATCTGAGTGTAGAGCCGGGCTCCAAAGATTTCTCCAAACTTGGGAATGGGCCATCCTTTTTGATCCGACTTTCACTTCAGCCAAACGCAATAAGTCGGTAGGGAAGTCAGCGTTAGACCGCTTGACCATGGTCCAAGTGGATGAAGGAAGTCTGACTGAAGAAGAATGTTTACTGGTGCAACAATTTCAGCATGAGCTTCGATTCACTCATACATTTCAGTCAGACATGTCCCATCCATTGTCTTTTGCCGCTCCTTGATGCTCAGGGGCCCCTTTTCAGGATCTAATCCAAACCAGCCATTGCGGCTGTCGGTGCTGTGGCATAAAAAGGCTGCTGAGGCCTTCTTGCGTGTGAACTTCCATTTGAACGATCGTGAGCCCAATCATTTGCTCCATTGTGCTACCACCGCTACAGAATGTCATCATCCCAACTGACGAACTCATATTTTTCAGAGGGGTTGAAACCACCAATCAGATAGCTGTTAATGATTAGTAACAATAGCTATTAATATTGGTCACAATATACATATATTGTTTTGTTTTTTTACAGTATTACATGTGTATATATTTTACACAGGGTCAATCCATCAATGAATTGAATGAACAGTTGGAAACATGATGGACACATTTACAGGAACCTCTTCATGTGTTATTACGGTAAGAAAAACAATTTGATTTCCGGATAAGAGTTACCCGTAAATCAATGCATTGATGATTCGATTCTAAAGTATATATATATAATTAGGGTAAATCCATTAGTATATAATCCATTGATACATACTTTGTATACAATCCATTGATACATTCTTAGTATGTAATCCATTCATAAGTATAAACCCATTCAAACGTTGGTCATCACTAGTTCCGAATTCAAACGGTGCTCAAATCTAGATGTAGGTTCCGATGAAAAACCATGAAAGTTCGGTGGTTCAATCCACATTTCATCCGCTGAAACCGACTGGATGGGTAGTTTTACTCATCCGCTGAATCGTCTTTTGGTATCTGGCTGTGATTATCGAGCCGTTCACCAGCTACAAAAAAAATGCAGGGTATCTAAGATTGGCACCAAATTTTGTTCATGTTGTTGCAAAAAAAAATCATTTTCCAGTGTTTTCTGGGTGAAATTCGATGTTTATCCCAGCTTTTGGAGAGTTCATTGCCCCTAGGGTCGAGGTCACCATCCAATTTTTCGAGGATTTGTCACGGGTGGATTTTCTCACCGTTACCCCGGGGCCCCGAGGTGCTGGGGATAAGGCGGGGCTGATCTTCGTCCTGGGCTTCGTGCTGTCGGTGTGGATTACCTGCGTGGGATATTGCTATGGCGGTCCACAGGGCTAGCTGGAGATAGCTGGAGGCTGGATGATGAAAGTCATGGTGATCTATAAGATTTAGCACTATTTAACCAAGAAACATTGATGAAAGTCTGATGCTAAAATATTCGAAATGGTGATCTATAGGATTTTACTATGAAACATTGAGAGTTGTATAATGATTGACTAATGGTTTAGTTGTGGATTGTAATTGTTAATAGTAGTGAAGTCAATAATTAATAGTCATAGTCATTAACTGATTGTTGGTTTGGAACATGGCTTTTATTTTTCCATAATACATGGAATGTCATCATCCCAACTGACTTTCATATTTTTCTCGGAAGTGTACATACATGTTTGTGAATGAAGAACGCCATGCAGGCTTCAGTCACAGCTGAGATCACGGAGATCGGCATTCAATGGGAAAGTGGAAACACTGACTTTCATATTTTTATATATTTTTCAGAGGGGTTGAAACCGCCAACCAAATTTTCATATCTAGTGGGATTTCACCCATTGTTACCCTCCAATGTCATCAGCTCCATGGCTGGAAAATCAGACATAGCGTGCTTCGATGATCTGATTTCGTCCATCCATCTGATAGAAAGTATTAATGGAGGTTCAGTGAACCATAATAGAAGTATTGATGGATTTACCCTCTGGTTATTTAACATAGCCGGTTTACCTCGGTTTACCTATTAAACATGGTGATTTTCCATGGCTATGTTAAATAACCAGATGGTATTAATGGAGAATCAGTGAACCATAATAGAAGTATTGATGGATTTAATGGAAGTGAACCATACATCTACTATCCATATCTGATACTTCATTAATAGAGGTTTCTCATCCATCATTTTTGTTATATTGATATCCAATGGTGTATTTACCTCAGCGATGTGTGGGGTCAAACTTGGATGGATGATGAAACTAAAACAAGATGCACACATATGCAAACTATTGATGGGGATAATGATAATATGTCTGGGCAAATTATAGTGACCTCACTGTGACCCCGCTGTGACCTCACTGGAATCATGGTTAGTAAGGGAAATCATCTCCATTGTGGGCCTTGATTCAGATTGGTGAAATGTTGTAGTTTACCCAGATATGTAGCAACCAGTTATTTGCTTTCACTATTGCATCTAAGATTGGCTGGAATTGTATGATTGGGACAACTATGGACAGTTGTGTGTGGTTTTGAAGGTTGTTTCATTGGCTTTACTCTTCCTAATTTGGGATGATCAATTTAAGATGCAACTGTACACTATCAATAAACTAAGGAGGGGTATCATCTAGTTTGATACGATTTGATTGTCCATTCCCACTAAAACTATTTTTTTTGATTTCCAGTTTTCAGGCGTTTCCGATCCACAGGGTCTTTCAATCTTTCAGGTGTTGACTCTTTGATGGCGGGGGCTGTAACGTTGTATCAACACGAATCCCTGTCCTAGATTTGACCAACCTTACCATTTCTGATTGGTGGTTTGGAACATGGCTTTTATTTTTCCACAATACATGGAATGTCATCATCCCAACTGACTTTCATATTTTTCAGAGGGGTAGGTATACCACCAACCAGATTTATATAAAAGAAGAACTTGTATCTGCTTCCCCTCTATAGAAGGGAACCAAAGGCCAGAAACAGGCGTTTCGCTTGTGAAGCAACACAGCTGAACGGCCGAATCAGGGTGAAACGACTCGAAAACATAAGGAGCACGCGTTACTGTTGAGGTTTCCCATTTAGCTTAAACATGTGCTTCGTAGCTTGAAAACATTGACAGTTTAATCTAAGTTACATGTACCATCCCTAACAAATCAAAAATGGGATGGTGGATCCATGTTTTTATTTACTAATCATATCCCATTCATATCCCAATGATAGTCTGATAGTCCATGAATGTATCCCATGAATATTTGATGAACATATCCCATGAATGTGCCATGAATATGATGTTCCGTTATATTTCCATTAACCACTGGATAGGCCACGGGGATTCTCAGCACCTCACACTTGCCCCAGGCAACCCGTTTGAACGTTTGAACAGAGAACAGCCTGGCTTCGCTGCGCACAAAGACTGCGTGGAAAAAAAATGGATCGCAGTGGGGCTGGAATGGTTCCCACAGTCCCCAAAAGGGAGCCTCCTAAAACAATCTTGAACAACCACTAGGTAAAATCAGAAAACATCACAAAAGGTATTCCTAGACCCTCCAAATATCCAACAAATATGTTCTAAAATTCTAAAACTATGGGGTAAACCACATTTTTTAAAGGTACTTGACAGGTCTAGGTACCAATTTGGTTTCTGTATTTGTCCCCAAAAGGGCATTAGCGCCTTGCCGAGTGCTTCAGTCTTCATTGATCTGTGAACCCGATGGCGCCATCACTTTCAACAAGAATTGGTACATGCCAAAATGCGATTTATCACCACTTTCCCGCCGAAAGTCGCATTTTTTTCGAGTATCCATCAAGTTTGAGACAAGCTCAATTGGTGGTCTCCTGAAATAGGGGTACCCCAGTCATCATCAATTTTAATGGGATTTTCCATGAAATAAACCATCCAGCTATTGGGATACCACCATTTTATGGAAACCGCCAATTCTTCATTGGGTTGATGGTTAAATCCTCTTGGGAAGCCGTAAGGGGCTTCCAAGGCAGGGCTACAGTGGAAAGTGCACAGCCGCAGCGTGCCCGTGCGGCTGCCCAATGGCCAGGGAATTGTCAGATGAGCCATTAAAAATACCTGGTTAATTGATTGCTGTAGGGGGATTATACTACCTGGTTTACTGGGGATTATGACAACCCATAGTAGGGAAACCTATCAACCAACTACCGTAGTATAATGAGATGGGATATGGGTATTTTTAATGGCTCAGATAAATCCAATTTGTTTTCAAGCTGGCTTCAGTGCAGTTTTTGCTGCCTGCTTTGTCCATTGCTTATTGGGGAAAATGATGACAAACCATGTGACGGTGGGATGCCCCAATTTTAGTCAAGCCATGCTTATGGTTTCAAGAGCAAGCCTTGACAATTCCATACCAGAAAGAGGGGAATCCAGGCATGCGAATACATGATTTTAACCATGCAATAAACATTGGATATGGAAATCAGAGCATGAATTTAATTACCACTACAGATATATAATCCCTCCCCCTGCTATGAAATACAATCTTTGAAACCTTGGTTTTGGACTGGATCTAGTTCATTTGCGGTCACTCACTGGTGGTATTTAATTTTATGGGGCTGGGATTGGTAGATAGATGCTAGGCCCCAAAGATTGAGAAGCATAGCATAGATGATGATTTGACAGAAACTTGAATGGTTCCTCCCAGAAAAAAAACATGAAGAACATATGACACAATGATCAGGCCTGTTTTTTCTATGTTTTTCTTTGATTGCGCAACGACCCCTTTCAAGTAAAGCATCAGTTCTTGCACGTCAGTTCCTCAATGAGATCATACGACGTATGACTTGATGGGACATGGATTAACCAGAAATGGGCTGGAATTTGATGGACACCTGAATAAGGGTTATTGATTCCCATCTGGTTGGTGGTTTGGAATGACTTTTATTTTTCCATTCAGTTGGGAATGTCATCATCCCAACTGACGAACTCAACTCCATCATTTTTCAGAGGGGTAGGTCAACTACCAACCAGATTATGATTATTAACCATCATTAAGCATATAATATTAACCATCATCATTAACCATATATAGTGGATTTACCATCATCATTATTAATATGTTTCAATGGAAACTATATAGATTTTCCTATCAAATATTAGGGGTTTGCCCAGTCAAAATCTCAAACATTTCAATGAACTCAGCCATGACATCGCCATGACGCGGAACCGCCCAGGGACCACTCCAGTGGAACCGATATCATCAGCGGATGCACATGCAACGCAGGCGGTTTATCTGGACGCTGCCGACAGATTCTCATCCCGAAGAATTAACGAAAAAAACATATGAGCTAATAACCATGGTTTTAATAACCATTAATAGGGCTAGTCATCCAATGGTTCCACTCGGGATTTATAATAACCATTAATTCAGGATCCTTATTATGGATGGGATGACCATCAACCATCAAACATATGATTCAACAATTCCATAGGATCCATGTATGGTATATTTAGCTACATTGGGATTATTTGGAAAATTACTTTAGGGGTCAATGTAGGTAAATATTCCAGCACCATGGATCCTCTGGGAATTATTCCACATATATGTTGATTATTATTTAACATGGAAACTGCTTGGTGGTGACTGGAACATGGCTGGATTATGACTTTCCATTCAGTTGGGAATGGAAAATCATCCCAACTGACGAACTCATATTTTTCAGAGGGGTAGGTATACCACCAACCAGGAAGCATCGAACGGTTACGTAGCACAGCCAAAAAGGGGGCTTCTTAAAATGATTGATACCCAAGCTCGCTGGATAGTTTATTTCATGGAAAATCCGAAAATCACATGGATGATAAGTGGTACGCCCATTTTAAGAAACCTCCTTATCACCTATCCATTTTTAAAACCACTGATCAGAAATAATTTTTGACTTATTTGCATCTGAACCCATCCAGCATCATCCAACATCAATAGTTGAATGAGGAAAATCATGTTCCAGGCCCAGTTTATCAGGGGGTTCCAGAAACCAGTCAAATAGTCAAGCCGAATCTGGCGAGGACGCCAGATTCTTACGTTGCTCAGTTCCTGGTATTTCGTTACAGTGTGTTAAGGTCTACTTGGTGGCTCATCCCACTTAGTAAGTGGGTTATAACCCCAGTTATAAATGGGATAAGTAGGGTTAATCCACTTATAATTGGGGTTATAACCCACTTGCTAAGTGGGATGAGCCACCAAGTAGGTAGCCTTGTTGTAGCTTTGTGTACTTAGAAATGTATGACATGTAACATAGCCATTGGACATCGAGATTTTCCATAGCTATGTTAAAATGAGGGGTATCCCATTTTCCATCATTTTCCCAAATTCACCGGACACAACGGGGGGGGGTATATCCAATTTGTAGACACACCCAACTTGTATCCAGAGCAAGGTTGTAAGAAGTGAAACTTTGAGTGTGTCCCCAAATCCCCTAGATTGAACATTCTAATTCTAATATGTCTGTGGTTTTTGTTTCGCATATAGACTTAGACCATCACATCCATCACGACTTCTGTGGTTCCTTTGTCTTACCGCGGAATATCTAAGAGGGAACCCAACAATCATACTGTTGCAAGGTGGTCCCGGGATGAACTCCTTCACCGATGGTTGAAACCTTATCGACAATGGGATGTTGACCACCTACTTGTTGTACCTCTGGTAAACGTTAACAACCAACGATGGAAAATCACAATTTTGAATGGGTACATCCACATAAATCCACTATTTCGACTGGACCATTTTCAATAGCTACAGTAACCGTTAAATTACCAGAGGATATCAACTGCAGGATTTCGCAGCCATCCAGATCTACCATAAAGCCTCGTTAGCCTAGTTATCGAAGCTTTGATTTTTCGTTGGTGATACATTCCATTGAAATTTGCGTATCCCGTTAAATCACTTGTTGGAAAAACGATAACGAATACGCAGCTATGGAACTATCCTTCTGAAATATAGATATGGAAAACATGTGTAATTACTTTGCATCACTTCCTAAGAGGATACTTTTCCCTCCAGGAAAATACCATCTGGTAAACTAACAGTTTGCAAAATGGCCATAGAAATAGTTGATTTACCCAGCTTTAACATGGTGGATCTTTCCATAGCAAGCTGTTAGTTTACCCGAGGGTAACCACCAATAACCCATGATTCACCACTACTGACCATCACTATCAATCATTAACCACCACTAACAATCAATAACTGTTAGTTTACCAGAGGGTAACCACCAATAACCACCACTACTAACCAATATTAACCACTATTAATCATTCTCAACCACCATTATTAATTAATCATTGACCACCACTATTAATGAATATTAATGACTATTCATCATTATTCACATGTAGGGTAGATCCACCAGTTTTCATGGTTAAACGGGTTAAATCCACCATTTTCATGGTCAAATCCCATTCAATCACCATTCTTCATGGTTAAATCCACCACAAAAAGGAGTGTAGATCAATCCATTGTTTTCCTATGTGGTCACTCACCTTGAGCGCTAGGTTATTTTGGTGCCGTGACTGCCAAGATTGGCGCGCCCTTCTACGATGGCGGCTGCACGGTGTGGGGCTCAACATTGCCAGCAGAAATGGCATGCTGGACAAGCAAAAACTGGTCCAGGGTGAGTTTCATGGCTATTTTAATGTGATTTAATGAAATTAATGAAATGTTTATGGGATCTAATGATATTTCAATGGAAACCACAGATTTAACCGACACAACATGTTTTCCAACCAAGCATTTTACAGGGATATACAGTAATGGCTGCTTGGTGGTTTGGAACATTTTGTATTTGTCCATCTATTGGGAATAATCATCCCAACTGACTTTCATATTTTTCAGAGGGGTAGGTCAACCACCAACTAGAATATATATTCACGGTGGTGCCCCAAAAGCACAGCTAAATTAGGTTTCTCACTAGCGAATTCCATGGATTATATATGTGTATTTGGGTAAATTGTAACGACCTCACTGTTCTCCCTCACTGGAATCATGGTTAGTAAGGGGAATCATGCAAAATGGCCTTATTTCAGGTTAGTGAACTATTATAATTTGCCATCAATTTGCCCATATATCTAATTATATATATATACATCATATATCTATAGTTCACCGGGCAAAGTAACATCACTGGATGGTTGGTTCTACTTTCTAAATGTCCCTGCTTGTCCGCCTCGGTATCTGGCTGATTGGATAATCCCATCCCCCTAATACTAACTGGTTGGTGGTTTGGAACATGAATTTTCCTGGTTAATCTATGGTTAATCTATGGTCAACAATGGTTAATAATTGGAATAAGAATATATCTGGTTGGTGGTTTGGAACATGGCTTTTATGACTTTCCATTCAGTTGGGAATGTCATGATCCCAACTGACTTTCACTCCATCATTTTTCAGAGGGGTAGGTATACCACCAACCAGTTAAACACCCCTTTTTTGCATGGTCCCAAAGGAATCTGGAAATTCCCTACATCGGTTTCGTTGAACGGGGGTGTTTAAGATTAGGGGGATGGGAGTACTTGATCATCATCAAAAAGCGTCGTGGATCTGACTGAAATAAAAGTTAGCCTCTGGTACATAACTATGGAAAATCACCATTTATAGTGCGTTTTCCCATGTAAAATGGTGATTTTCCATAGTTATGTTAGTTTACCAGAGGGTACAGCATTGGATGAGTCAACGGATTGATTGAGGGGAACTTCATATGATGGTAGGAAGCTACCAACAAACATGCGGAGTCAAGCTACGTCAATAGTTCTCTCCTTCTTGGATTGACCTCACCTTTACACCAAAGTCGGCAAGTGATGTGCAAATGATTAGTAACTGGGATTTCCAGGCAGGGACCCATTAAAATTCTACATTCATTGCTTTGATTACTTTGATTGGCGTTTTTTTGCTGGTTGGTGGTTTGGAACATGTTTTGTTTTTCTATATATATATTGGGAATAATCATCCCAGCTGACTTTCATATTTTTGAGAGGGGTAGGTCAACCACCAACCAGATATATTATTAAATTATTAACCATATGTTAACCATATATTAACCATATATTAACCATACGTATATTAACCATATATTAACCATATATTAACCATCATCA